ACTACTGTTATCCTGTATGGGTAAAAAGAATAGAAAAGCCAAAAAGCTTGTCTTTCAATATTCTCATTTGTATCTCTTCTTATGAAAAGTGTCTTTTATTACATTTAAATTTGCTCAATTGAGAAATGTGTTCAGCTCTTACGAGTGTTAGATATGCACTGCTTCTTTCGTATTAAGAAATAAGGTACCTTTTAACTCTAGTCATGTAGAACAATTTTTAGTCAAAAAGAGGAGAATTGCAGTCAAACACACTGCAGTGCCTCAAAAAGGATGAACACTTCACCAGCAGTTCGACAGTAAAGACGTAGACAGGAAAGTGAACCATGCCTGACATATCACATATGCTCCAATAAGATTTAAAAAGTTGCTACATTTTACATTAATCCAGCACAAGACAAATGCAGTGTGCCAAAATCAGTGAAATATGCGTATCTAGAGTCAATCTTCCAAAGGATGTCATGAGACACATCAACAGATCATGATTTTAAAAACCAAGCAGAGTTTTACAGGGTCAATTCTTGGGTGAATCACACAAAATCTACAATGAGCACTAAGTTATTCAAGTGATTCACTGAACTTTCCTCTGAGTTTCTCATCAATTGGCATAACATTCCTTGGTACAAGGTATGTTGAAATAAGCAGTTTCCAAAGCCTGTCACTGTTAGCTTTTATCTTCTTTAGAGTAAGACACAGAACATACAGTTCCCGCCTCTCCAAACCTGTTCTTGAACAATACTTTTCCCTCACTTACCTTATGCAGTGCTCCATCTACAACTAAAGCAGCTGCCATATATCACCCACCTGGGCCAAGAGCACTCCATCAGTAGCTCCCTCCCTCACCCACACACACACACTAGCATAACTTTAAAAGCAGTGTAGTTTAAATTGCCTTTCAAATCCTGTTTGTTTTTTAAGCAGCTTGTTAATTTAGGTAAAACTCTCTTGCGATTTAGAGATTGTGTCCTCCTTTTTACGCATTTGATCACACAACAAGTCTGGAAAGGAAGCATCATCCTGTAAATTAACAGGCCTTGAAACTCTATCCTCAGTTAAAGTACGAATAGCTCCACAACCAAGTCCTACAGAATAGCAGATCCGCCAGCAAATACTTTAAGAAAACCCAAAAAAACTAGATGCTGCTGTAAACATTCTAGAAAGTAGGTTATACCTTGCCCTTCAAGCAATAAAAACATGCCTGGACACAAAATTAGAAGTGAGATGAAAGTACATTTTTCTTCCACTCATCACGCTGTTGCCTGTCTGTTTTACCCTGACACCAGCACTAGCAAATGTCCAGGCAAACTGCACACAACTGTTCTCAACATGGAATACATCATCTTCCTGTGCAAAGATGATTTGGCAGAGCAAGAAATCTCTGCTAAATAACATCTCTCAATAGTCAAGCTACACTTTGCTTTATTTCATGCTATTAGCTTTGCTTCTACCTCCTTGGACCACCCTAAGGGATGTTCTTCAAATACTTGCAGATAATCATATCTCCCACTTAGACATCATTTAGCCAAGTTTCAAGCATTTCTTTTCATCTTCCTTCCCTCATAAATCAATCCCTTCAGTCTCTCCAGCATTCTTGCAGCTCTTCCCTGAATTTCTTCCAAGCTACTGACATCTTTCAGCAACTAAAGAACTTCCAATTGCATGCTGTACTCTAGATGTGTTTTTTTGTACTCTAAAGAAAGATAATTAATCCTTTTCAAGAAATATTAATGCTCCAAGCTTGGAATAAATCTAAATCAGAGATTGCATTATTTTGTTGGTGTTTGTTTTTTTTTGTTTTTTCTTTTTTTTTCCAGAATGGATAGTAATTATCCCCATTTCACAGAGCAGAAGAGCAGAGAGAAATATCTGACTTATTGCTGCACACAAGCGGTGCCAGAATAAGAAACAGATCCATGTTCTGCCATTCCCACTCGTGGTCTGTCAAGTTTCAACCTACAGACAACATAAGACAATGTTCCCAGGCTGTGATCTACAGGCAAACACAAGTCATTTCCAACTGAGTATGGCATTTGGGGAGCTCAACAGTTGCTCACATGAGCGGGCACATTGCTGGAGGCTGTTGGCACCAGTGGGACCATGTAACACCCTACAATGTGCCACAG